CTCGAGTTCTCTTTCAGCTGCGGCTCGGAGGTGTGCTGGGACTCGTGACGAGGGCTGAACAGCGATCGGCTGACGGGGCTTCGCGGGCTGTCGTTGCATACCTGAAACTCCGTCCCGAGCTCGCACGAGTCCGTCTTCGCCGTCTCCTCCGGTTCCCATCTTACCGCCGGGCTGGGTTGGTGCGTCGGGTCGTTCATCTCTTCCGGGTTGCTCGTCTTCTCGGTCGCCGGGACAGCCGTCGGAGGGAGGAGGTCGTCCTCGGTGTCGCTCGTGCAGCGGGACACCTCCATGATGGTCTCCGTCACGCTGTCGTAGGGCTCGCTGCGGTCGACGAGCTGGTGATTCGCCGCCGGCGACTTCTCGTCCACCCCCTTGTCCCGGCTGACGTCCTTGTTCATCGCCTGCTCGTCGTTCTCGTCGTTCTCGTCGGACGAGTCGCCGCCCGTGTACCTGGACACCTCCATTATCGTCTCGGAGACCGTGTCCCTGGGCAGGTTGTTGACGAGCTCCGACCTGACCTCGGCCGTCTCGCCAGTCTTGTTGCACCGGCCTCTCGCGCCGAGCTTCCTCGCCAGCGCGTTCGGCACGCCGTCCAGCGCGTGTTTGCTCCGATTGTTCTTCACCGATTTCCTCGGCAGTCCTTTACCCCCCAGACTCGTCGTCGAGTCGTCGACGCGCGTCGACTCCCTGTCCGACGACAGCGCGAAGTTACAGGTGGTCGCGTGGGTGCCGGTCTGCCGGCACAGGGTGCACACGGACATCCCGGCGGTCGCGTCCTGCTTGAAGCTCGGCGAGCAGAGGTGCTCGTAGAAGTGGTCGGTCTCTGAGAAGATCCTCTCGCAGCTGCAGCACACCAGGTAACACGAGCCCTTGAAGACACTGCGGAACTCGTCCTCCGAGGCGAGCTCCAGCTCCGGCACGCTGTGCTTCTTCGACAGGTGGTGCAGCAGCCTCTCCGCCTGGCCGAACATGCCGAGGCAGAAGAGGCAGATGTGCCGCTTGTGGATGTCCCTCATGTGCAGGAAGAGATTCCAATTCTCGAAGTAGGTGCCGCACGCCGCGCACAGGTACACCTTCCGCGTGATCTTGAAGTTGCTGGAGGCCTGCGGGGCCAACGTCGTCTCGGAGGTGCCGGGCATCGGCGTCATGCTGGGATTGCACGCGCAGAGATTCTGCTTCGAGTTGGTCGGGCCGCAGTTCAGCCAGCCGTGGCACTTGGGGCACTTGTGCCTCGAGGACGGCTGGAGGCCCAGGTACTCCGTTATCTTGTGCTTCCCCTCCGCCCGCCGTTCCTTGCCGCTCCGAGCCGACGCATTGCCGCCCGCTAGTTGCTGCTGTTCCAACGCGCTGTTCCTTAGCACCGCGGTGTGGCGCTGCCGCGCCTGCGCCAGAATGCGCTTCTTGAAACCCTTGAAAGTCAGCCTCGGCCCCGTCACCGTGTTCTTCGGCTCTTTCGCCACGATCGGACCGAAGTGTCGCTGCTTCTCCTCCTTGCCCGCGTACCCGTCGTTGCTGGAATGTCTCAGTGAATTGCCCAATGCCGGCTCGTGGACTCGCTCCCCCAAGATAGGCCACATGTCCGTGCTTCTGCTTTCCCCATCCTCATCTTCCATAATAGTACCGACCTCTATGGCAAGTTACCTGAAACACCCAGGACCATGCGTTACTTTTCCATCGAGAATACACGATTCGCGCACGTCGTCTGTTCCTTTTAGCCGAAGAGAAGCGCAGGAATCGTCCGCTCCGGCGAATTTCCCGAGGCAAATCCAGCCAAAATGAGCAGACCAACACTGCATTACGTAAACAATTGTTGAGACTCTGCACTGATTATCAACACAACTTCGATGTGAAGGAAAAAATGCGCGTGCCGATACACTCATTCGCGGGGGAGAAAGTATCGTCGGGGAATCTCTCGCGAGAAGTGACGTTTCAGTGGCCAGACAGAGACGTATCATCGATAGGATCGCACGAGAAATCGTCGCCGTCGTCGGTTTCGCGAGCACCTCGTTGGGCGCGATGCGTCGCCGGCTGGCTGCGTCACCGGATATCCCTAGAACCTTCCGCACTTCGGAAAGAGATTCACGGCCACCTGTTACGTCTGAAAGAATTCCGAGGGAGTCATCGATCGGAACGACGACGAAGGGGACGGCGGGAAGCTGACGACGACGACGACGACGACGACGCGAGGCCGAAGTTCGCGCGCAACGGGGCACTTTCGAAACGAGCACTCGGACGCGAAGCTCGCCGACGAGACTCGAGGAGGTCGCGGAATCACCCGGGACAATTCACCACGGCAAGCGAGAGAGCTCGAGCGTTCGCCTCGCGAGGATGACTCGAGGAGAGTCCGCGCGCGTGCGATGCGTTTCTCCTCTTCTCGGAAGCACTTACTTTTCTCAGGACGAGAGGAGCCCCGCACGTGTCGCGATCAGCCGCGTGCACCGCTGCGTCTACGCGGGGTATCTCGGCGCCTTCGAGCTTAGCTGGTCGCGGTGCGCGAGAAAGGTTAGTAAAATGGCGTCATATCAATGAGCGCTGCATCGTCCGTGCTTCCAACACGTCCCCCAGTGATGCCACCTTTTGTCATAGCGACTGTGCCGCGGCTCGCCCTGAGAGAGAGCCGTCGCTAGGTTAGCCCGCGGCGCTCGTCGATCCGGTCTCGTCCCACGTTTCTCACGGTCGCGAGGTCGTCGTTGTTGCTGTCGTCGTCGCCGCCGCGGACTGGACTGCGCGTCGCACTGCCGGCGGCGGAGCGTCGAGCCGAGCGGATGTCTCGCCGTCTCTCGTCCGCTCAGGGCCGTCGCGTGACACCTCGAGCGCCGACACGACGGCATCTCTCGCCTTCCTCGCGCACGTACCGCGCGCCGTCCGCACTCTCTTCCCCGGGCGCCGCGACGCCGCCGGTGATTTTCATCCGGCCGGATAACGGAGCGAAAAAATCGGCCGGCGATTCGCCGATATCCTCCGATCAGAGAGACTCTTGATAAGGCCGATGTCTACACCGCCTTTCGCATCGGCGCCCCGGCTCTACGTTATTCGTGCACCGTGACTCTCACTAGGATTCACCGCCGCTAGGGACTTTGGCCCTACCACCCTGCGGGAGGGGGCGACGCTTTCGCTCGAAAAAATGATCGATTCCCGTTAGAGATGCAGCTTTATTTTTTAATCTCGACCTTACAGTATTCCCTCTATCGACGGGTCATCGTCGATCGCTCAACGGTCGCCTCTCCTCTCGTCGAGAAGACCCGTCGGGGAAGTTTCTGCGAGGCGAACGAAGTCAGTAATAAAAGGAGTAAGTGCCGCGCTGTATAGTGCAGTAATCCGTGAGATTTTCGATGCGTCCGAACGCCACGACCGCGGGAGACTGATCGTAAATATATTCACCGGCAGCTCTGCGTATCGTACTCGTTGTAATCCCCTGAAAATCAGAAAAGCTGTGGTCTCATTTCGGAGAGGAACACACGTCTTATCAGGTACTGTGTTATCAAAAAAATGTTAAGTGAATCATCATGGCAGTCGTGTTACGTCAGCTTACGTTGTATCTCGCGAGTCTGTCGCTCATGGGCTCGTAACAACCACGTAAGTAGAGACAGTTGAATATGTCGAGGAAGCGGTTGACCGGATCGTTCAACTTCATCAGTTCGTGAAATATGCATTTGTTTACGGCTCGTTGCACCTCCGCGTCGGTGATCGTCGTGCTCAGTCTCCTCCATTCATGCTGCAACTTGGAAACCATGTCCTGTGCCGAGTTTTCATGTATTATTAATTTTCTTTCTTTTTTCTGTTTGCAGAAGGATGATGGATCAAGGTGTACACGTACCTCGAGCTTCAATTCGTCGCAGACAAAGTAACAACCCCATATGCTGTTGCACGCATAGTCTAGGATAAATGATTTATAGGTGTGGCACAGGTTTGTATTGAATGCACTGTGTGCGAGATACGGGGCGTTGTGATTGGCTCCGCCTGCAATCAAGCTCGAGTATTTACGTGTCAGCTCGCACACATACTTTCTCTGATGGAGATATCTTGCTGAAATACTCTCTCAATTGACCGTTCCGAATTTGATTCAACATATTTCATGATATGTAGTATTTCAAATGTTCTTTTATTTCCAAAATTATATCTTAACTTACATTATACTTCACAACATTACATTGAATCTTCTTATGATGAAAATTATGATTGATTTTGAAATATATTTCAGTAATTTTTCAGTGACTTTCCTCAAGTTCATAATGTATCAATACTCTAATATAAGGAAAGTTAAAGTATACTGCTAAGATTAACTGCTGAATTTAATTGGTAACTGTGTACGTTGACGGAACGATAATGAAATTCGGTCAATTGAGAGGGAATTCTAGTGAAATTCTCAATATATTTCCATCAGGGAGTTAGTTTTCTATAACGATGCAAAAAAGAGTTGCCACATGTCTCTCAGTTACCACGTGTCATGTCCCATGAACCTACAATCTCTTTAGCTACTTCAAAAGCATAGCGATCTTCAGGCTTGGAAAAGGTTGGTCCTTCAAATCCTATAGCTACATATCCCAATTCTTCATCATCATCATCTCGGAATCGCAATTCAGCACCTGTTAACACGTTAACGCCTATAATATATAACACACATATAACCCGCTAATAATGCAGTATATTATATTTTTACCTGAGAAGCGTAATTGTTTCAAACAGAAAGATGATTTTACTTTGTAACTACATGTAGAAATCTTTGTCTCTTGTGCATCTTTAGCGATATATTTACACACAATTTCTTGCAACTCGTTCAAAGTGATCGCACCAGAACTTATTATGGTCATTACATGTGGATTGAACATACGTTTTCTGAAGCTCACTAAGCATTCTGTCTCAAAATCTCTGCGCGTAACAGGGGGTTTACATATTGTGCATAATATAATAATCAGTAATATAATAGCTATATAAATACAAAAATCTCTCTATAATCAATGGCAGATGTTTCATAACTACTTGATTATATGACTCTCGGGAAACACACTTTTAGAGAGCGCAGTATCCTGGTATGCGATATTCGGAAGATAATCCATCACAACTTGCTCTGGATTAGATCCTACTTGAGAAAGCTCCTTAAGTATTCTACACTTTGCTAATTCAACATTATTATCACCTAAAGTAATGATTTTCTTGTGTTTTAATTTGTAATTACTTAAAATGATGACAATATAATAAATTTCACTTAAATAATAACATACATATAACATTATTCGTCGCAACATCAACCAATAGCTCTGCAAGTCTGCTAACATTGCAGGAAGGTGCCGTTCCATAAAATACAAAGATATCTCGCATCGCATTTGCTACTAACGTTCCACCAATCTCCTGCAATTCTTCTTCAATTTGCCATCCGCTTCTTTGAGTTGTTTGCTATTACCATAATTTACTTAGGTATGAATCAAGAATTATCATGTAATTCCTTCCTATATATTTTACTTTTCTATATATTTTAATTTATATTTAATATACTTTAGAGTTAAATTATATATTGTGTGCACATAGTCTATATTTTTTAACACATGAACGTGTATGATACTTTTGTATTATTAATTATATAAATAGGCTGTGAATTTCTATTGTAAGTAAATAAATATATATTTTACTTGGAATAACACGTGTTCCAAAAATAATGCACTACCACGTTCCTCAGATTTTTCAAACATTGCACCCGCTGGTAGAAGGCATCCGATAGTTGTAACAAATGATTCTTTATATTCTACAATTAAACGCATGCCATCATTTATATCGCAATATTCCATTCTGCCCTCGGGAATATCAAAAGGCACGTTAGAAGTTTGACATTTCTTCGTAAAATCACTGTAATAATTGCGAATCCCATGACTGATGTGTTTAAGCAAAAATGATTCTGGCCCCTTAAAGATAAATCTATTTAAATGTTACTTCTCAAATCGTGTATCGCACAATCTTAAATCAAATATTTATCTATTCTTACGGCATATATAATACGTGAAATATGCTTTTGTGCTATGCAGATATTTTTGAAGGCGAACATTCTTAATTAGTTGACCGTTAAAGGTTATCACACGTCAGTTATGTTAAATATCTGTGAAACTAACAGTTGACAGACATGGACTAGCTCGTTGTGCAGTTGTTCTTATCTCTATTAGTAATAAATAAATATAAGTAACTTTCTGTGTATGGGATAGTTTTAATAGACAAGGCCATAATCATATTTAAAGACGTGAAATAGAAGAGGTAAATGTATAAATAAATATACATTACAGATTAAGTGCTTTGAAATTAATATGGTAGAATAACGTAGAATAAGTAAACAATACCACCGAAGTATCTGTATATAGTTTAACATACTGGAATTCAATATATCTTCCAGTATATTCTAGTAAACAACGTGTTAGTGGCCGTGTAGCATGAAATCCCTAAAGTGTGAAATACTCTGTACAGTTAATTTGATTTCTATTAGAAGACACAGTGTTATATATCTGTCCTTTTTTCATATGATGTGTGTAGCGCATCACCCAAACTTTTTTTTTTGCAGACACTCATTTCACGTGAACTTGTGTTTCTCTGCAACAAAACCGAGGTTTTAACCCTTAGCTGACACACGTCAAAATAATAACGTACGTGCTATAGGGGGTATTTTGGACCCCAGCGAAAAAAAATGTGTATAATTGTTTTATTTATCAATATTGGGTCAAGCCTCGACTAATACTAGGTGACGCCACAGAACCAAATTTGGCGCGCAACTATGAAAAATTTGCGTTCAAAAACACTGGGGTACTTTTAACCCTGTGTGTCAGCTAAGGGTTAAGAAAATTCAAAACGCAGATGGATAGAATTCGCTATGCTTAAGATCTGGAACTACATCTACAGATAATGTTCGTACGAACTGTCCTAATTTTTTGGATATTTTAATTGTCTTTATAATAATTTTAACTGAAGGCATTGTTGTTTCTATCTTTCCATATTTTATCGTTTAGTATTTTACTTTTGTGTGGAATCACTGAAAAGATATAGTTTCTACTCAGAAAGTTTCTTGCAAAAAGAAAGACATCCTGCATATACGAGTTTTGAACAAAAAATTCATGTGCTTAACAAAGAAAATATGATTTTTCGACTATATTTTATAATATAGATGTGCTCCTTTAAGTTCAATGCATTTGTACCAGCGATATTACAATGCGATAAGATTCTGGTGAGGGTCTTGAAGTATTCAAAATATTCATTTAGGATTAGGGGAGGGGGTGGAAGGAGTCCACGTCCCAAGTTTCCATAACACTGACCTCGACATTCGATACGGATCTTTTATTTACCACCCATTTCTTGAGGAATTAAATAATAAACGCATGAAATAAAATAGAGTGAATACGGTATGTGTGGTATTAACCAGAATCTAAAGTCACAATTCATGAATCAGCGCTATTACAAAAGATTATGTGTGAGTTGGTGTGTTATTTTGAGTGAGTGAGTTGGTGAGATTAGATCGTACGAGCGGCAAGTTGTTTAGAACTTCTTGGACAATCGGGGTAAAGAGATCGTCCAGCAGGACTATGTCGCTGTCCTCGATGAACTCAATCACTCTAATATTTATCATTTCGTAACATTCAAGCGCTATATGCACCGACATTCTCACCACATCTTTCAAAGACATCATAGCGTTATCTCGATAAGGAATAAAACTGTATTCTTCATAAATGGTTTGTATTTTGGTCAGTCGACGAGATATGGCTGTAGCTTTAATCCCACAAATTTCTATTCCTCCGGATACTATAGCGTCTAAACAATCATAGATGTGTACAGGCAGATCTGTAACAAAATCCACAGATTTATAATGAGATAAGAAGGCCTTTTATATACGAGGGTGAATCAAATATAAACCGGAATTATTTTTATATCCGCAGTGAGGCGAACGGAGAAAGACCAGGCTTCTGAGCGTTATAGGTGAGGATGCCTGAAGGAGATTCCCCCCTACGCGACCTCTCATTAGCGCTCCGTTAATCAGTATCACAATGTCAGAACGGGAGGCGCCATCGTTCGTTGCACAACGAATTATTATTAAATTTCTCACTGCAGAAAGCGTAAAACCGTCGGACATATTGAGAAGGCTTGAAGCACAGTTCGGGGACAATACGCTTAAGAAGACTCAAGTGTACGAGTGGCACAAACAATTTTTAGAAGGACGAGAAACTGTTGAAAATGAGGGGCACCGACGCCGCCCAAGGACCAGCGTGACAGAGGAGTGATATTCACCTGGTTGGTAGCCTTATCGAGAGTGACCGTCGATTAACGGTCGCTGAAATTGCTTCTGAGGTCGGAATAAATTTCGGTAGTGTTCAGGCAATCATTACTGACGACCTTGCGTTTCGAAAAGTGTCTGCCAGATGGATCCCTCGTCTTCTCACCGAAAACCAGAAACGACACCATTTGGAGGTGTGCGAACGGCTATTGACACGCTATCAGGTCGAAGGAGAAGTTTTTTTACACCGAATTGTGACTTGCGACGAAACTTGGGCGCACCACTACACTCCGGAATCCAAAGGAGCCAGTATGGAATGGCGAAAGAAAAGTGAATCTGCACCCGTCAAAGATAAAACTCGGCTCTCAGCTGGAAAAGTTCTTGCAATTGTATTTTTTGACTTTAAAGATATTTTGCATGTCGATTTTCTTCACGTACGTCGTACTGTGAACGCCGCATACTACTGCCAACTTTTGGACGGAGCAAAACGCGAATATCGTCGGAAAAGATTTCTAATCCGAGACGTTATCCTGCTTCACGACAATGCCCGGTCACATACAGCTGCCTTAACTCGTCAAAAAATTGAAGAGCTGTTCTGGACTACACTGGAACACCCTCCCTACAGTCAGGACTTATCGCCCTGCGATTATTATTTGTTTGGGCCACTGAAAGAAGCACTTGGAGGACAAAGATTTGACAACGATGCTTCTGTCGAATCCTTCGTGAGCGATTGGCTGCTGTCACAGCCGCCTTCATTTTATGATAGTGGAATTAAAAAAATGGTTACCCGTTGGGAAAAATGTGTTTCGAAGTCCGGGGATTATGTAGAAAAATAGTTACGTATGTTAGTTTTTTATGATGCTTCATTTAAACAAAAAAAATAATTCCGGTTTATATTTGATTCACCCTCGTATCTGCAACTGATTACGAAATTATTTGAGGATAACGCAGGCATATTTACTCTTTTCTTCAATGGGAATATTGCGCAACTGTTTCATATGATATTTGGGATCGATTGTCAATTTGCGAATTTCAGTCGGTACGTAATGATTTTTTGAATTAAATGATAGGATTTTCATCTGTAGCATATTGCCCATGAATGCTGTATAATTTATAGGCCACCTGATATGCCCTGATTTACCAGTAATAGAAGCGCTCTTCAACAAATGAAATAAACCAGTATACTGATAACCACGGAGTCGTAGCTCCTTATAAATATCTTCTGTGTTCATGTACTCATTATCTTCGTCACTATTGGATAAAAATTGAACAGGTAGTTTTTCACACGCAATGTCGTCCACTGACTTGTCACCTTCTATAATCTCGAAGTTATTACTGCCTATAAGAATATCACGCAAGAATTACAATATAAACTGCACCTTTCTTCACATATAACTTTATCGGTTTCATTTTCTTCGAAATTACCGTGACCAAAATACAAAAGCAATTTACTTATCTCCTTGTATCATAAGAATTAAATCCAAAGAATCTTTCTCCGATAAGTTAATAGCGCGGACAAATTTAACATTTTCAAATACAATTGGTATGTTGTGATAATCAGTGCCACTCAACGAACCAATCATTTGCCAAATTAAAAGAAGATAAACTATCACCGGTAGCAAGTTTTTTCCATCAGTTATATGACCAGACAAGTATTCGAACTCTTTGATAGCGATTGAAATAGTGACAATTCTTTCTCTGCTGAAAATTTTGTCGTAACCTGAATAGCGGTAGAAAAAGTAATCCTCAGAATGATCCCATCTGCAACATTTGTTACAAGATTAAACAATGTAAAAAAGGAAGTGAAATTTGTTTTCTTGTACGTACGTATAATTAAATTCATATATACACGCACCTAACAAGAGGAGATATCATTGGTGTCCCGCGACTAACTGGAAATTGCACTGGCGGATATAAACTTGCAATCTGTGGCTGAAAACCTATATTATAAAGATCTCCAATTCCTTTCAAGAAGCTTTGTATGGTATTCTTCTTGCTGTGCTCGCACAGTGAAATCAATAATACTGTTGATTTCAACGACTTCGCCATGTTCGTTTGAAAACTATTGCATTGCCCTATATCGACAAGTATCGTATCTTTCGGTACCAAAGTTATAATTTTTCGGAATGGTATTGGATAGTATTCTATCAACAATATATTTATTGTCAGCATAATATTCTGCTATTGCTACAGGTGTGTTGTCCCGTTCACTGCGAGATCTGCCCAACCCAGGGGTCGGCAACCTTTTGAGTCGGAAGAGTAAAAAATTACAATTTAC